TGGCTCTCTGACATCCCCCAGGGGTCCCAGATTGCAGGAGGGCACAGGCCAGGCCAAGGGACCGACCAGTGCATGATCAAGCTGGGGAGGGACATGGGAGGTTGGCCAGCCAGGGAGGGACTGAGGGAGGGCTCCAGGGCTTGTCCAGCCTGTCTTGCTCAATCATGCTCAGCCAGGCAGCAAGTGAACTTACCAGTTGGAGCATCTGCCCCCTTGTGATTAGTGCACATCAAAGTGAGCAGCTGAGCAGCCTTAGCATGTCGTTAGCCTATTATGCTTTGATTGGTTGAATGGCCGACCAAAGGACCAGACTTAGCATAGTAAATTTTTATTATGTAGGATATTTTTAAAAGGTAGACTTTTAATAACTGCTTTTATCATCAGGTTAGTCATACAGTTACAATAGTCCATATATTTTTAAAAGTATGCAGTCAAAGATGATTTCTCCAATGTTAAGTTATACTATAATATGTATGTCATAGTGTGTTTTTTTAATATTTTATTGGTTTAAACTGTTGAAATAACACAATATTATGAGTGAGCTTAATTGCTATAACTGGCAAGTTCAGTCAGAAATATTAAAGAATTATGTGGATTTTTGAAAGGTGAAAATAATTAAGATGTTAGGTTTTCTTTTTCTTTTAACATGAATTGTTCTTCCATTTATTTTTAAAGGCAGTTTTAGGACAAGCAGTTGTGATAAAGTTTAAACTGAGTAGATTATTGATTACTGCTGACAATCATGCAGTGGTTACCCTTCCAAACTAGACTATCTCTCTTCATAGTTCACAGAACAATAATTCGCTAACAAACAACATTTGATACTTGATTATATAGAATTTCAGAGCCTGAGCAGAAATGTTTTAGCTTCTCTTTGACCCCTATTCAACCATTACTAACAGTAACAGAATGATATATTTGTGTGCAGTGTTATAGCTGAAGACTTTTCTCACACTTCACAGCCACCCCGAGATGTCTCAGTTTTACACTGAGATTACTGAGGCAGGTTAGCTGGACAGGAGTCACACAAACAATAACTGGTGAAATAGCTAACTCCAGTGTTTCGGTCACTAAATTTTATCTATAAAGATCTACTTTTAGGAGAATTATTCATTTTACAATTTTTAACCTCAGTAACTGTAGTTGCCTTGCATAGAATAGGCAATTATTAAAGAATGGTGGAAATAAGGAAAGGAAAGAAGAAGGAAGGAAGGAAGGAAGGAAGGAAGGAAGGAAGGAAGGAAGGAAGGAAGGAAGGAAGAAAGAAAGAAAGAAAGAAAGAAAGAAAGAAAGAAAGAAAGAAAGAAAGAAAGAAAGAAAGAAAGAAAGAAAGAAAGAAAGAAAGAAGGGAGGGGGGAAGGAAGGGAGGGAGGGAGTATGTGGGGTATGGGGTTTGGAGAGTCTGGAAATTGTGATTTTAGTCTCCAAAATCTTAGTCCTAATCTAAATTGCCAAGAGAGACCAGGTCAAGAGTGAAACACCCCAAAGTGCATTCTCTGACAACAAGTTACTAATTTATTTATACTTTCTTCTTTGTAATACAGTTGCTAAGAGGGTCTTCTTCTATATATTGAGATACATTCTATCTGCAAAACCTTCCACTTCACCTCTAATAAATTCCTTCCAAAGCTCCCAGGAAGAATGGGGCTGCCACAGCTTGGTTTAAAGGGCTGCTTTGTCTGTTTCATTAATTTCTGGCAGAATTGCCAAATGGCCTGACTTCGCAATATAGCGTGTGTAAGCCAAAGAGAAAAGATATCACTGCAAAATTAATAGTTCTGTTAGGACTGAGTGTCCACTTGGTTTAACTAAGGAAAATAAAAAACTAAATAAATTAATTAATTTAAAAAAAAAACCTGGCAAATGTGAAGGGAGCACATATCACCATCCCATCAAGGCTCCTCTGACAATCACACTGTACCCCTGTGTCAGTCTGTTGGTTCAGAACAGCTATGCCCACTCAGTTCACCCTTTGCATCATCTGGGAGTTCTCTGATGCTTTACAATTCTTTGATCATTTCTGTTCTCATTGCTATTAGCAGATTAAAGGGCCAAGTACGATTAGTCTGAGACCCTATGAGTTTCTTGCTACTTCATTGTCTTCAGGAGTTACTTTACTATCAGATAGCCCATTGCTAGTTTCAACTAATGATCTCTGAACTGTTCCAATGAATGTGTCATAACTTGGAGCTGCAGAATAGCATTAAAAGGATAATTATTTCAGGGGGAAATGTTTTGAAAAGATTTTAAAAAATAGGAATTATTTCTAATATTAGCGCACATTTATTTATCTTGCCTATGTGATAACACAAGATCAGAAAGTTCAAGGAAGAGGTATGGTGCATCTATCTCTTGCTTATATCACTGCTGATCTTCATTGTTAATTTACAACTTATATGGAGTCTCTGCTTTGGGGAGATGTTGGTTTTGTTAATTTTAGCAAAAGCCTCAGGGTTTGTGCTGAGAGAGCCTGATACAGTGTTAACTGTGCAGCGTGGGTGAGGGGTAATCGGTAGAACCTGTCAGGGATTCAGACCGCTGGGGTCCACTTGAGTCTCCGCGTTCCTCTGCAGGGACATGAGTGGTGACAGCACAGGCAGGTGGTCCCTTCTGCATTGTCATCTGGGGCAGCAAGGATACCGTGCTCAATTTGTCATCCCCTGCAATCCTGTCAGCAGTTGGTTTTAAGCGCAAAACCTTTAACGCTGGAAGCAAACTTCCTCCTAATATTTTTCAAAAAGCCATTGCCATGAATGAAAATATTAACACACAGCACCTAAGTAAGCTGTTTTTGGCATTTAAATACAATATTATGTTAAATTGTGTTGTGTGATGTATAGACATATTGTCTATAATTTGACAGACCAAATGTCGCCAATTTAATTCCCTCCTCCTGATAAAGATGGTAAATATAGCTAATAATGGAATATTAGGATCACTTTTCTCCTCACTTTCCCTAGTGCCTTTTGTTTGGCTTGTAGACCTGTGAAGGATACCTTGAAATGCATTTTGAAAAGAACTTTTTGTTTCAATAATAAGACAAAAATTGAGCCATTTTTAATTATGCAAACTAATAACTCAAAAAATAACATGCATCGCCGAGACCAGTTTGGTTTAATGGATAGAGCATCGGCTTGGGGACTGAAGGGTCCTGGGTTCGATTCCTGTCAGGGGCATGTACCTTGGTTGTGGGCATATCCCCAGTGGAGGGTGTGCAGGAGGCAGCTGATCGATGACTATCTCTCATCGATGTTTCTAACTCTCTGTCTCTCTCCCTTCCTCTCTGTACAAAATCAATAAAATGTGTTTAAAAAATAATAATAACATGCATCTTTGAAATCCCCAAATTTTCATTATCAAGCTTTTATTTGATTAATGAATGCCCTCTCTACTTGCCCAGTAATAATAACTGCTATTATTCCTTGAATGCCAGTTTTGTGCCAGTTTATTTATAATTTCTACAAATATTCGGTAAGAGAGCCATTGCCCCTCTTTTCTAAATGAGAAAATTGAGCACCTGGGTGGTTAAATGACTTGCTCAAGGACACAAACTAATAGGAGGTGGGATTTGGGCCAGATCTAGCTGCTAAGTACAAGTCATTTCAGCTGTCCTTTGCATTTAGCCTGGAAAGCCATGCTAAGAACAGCGAGATGGCCCAAAATCAAGCCTAATTTTATCAGTGTTTCTATCAGGTAGAGTAAAAAAGAAGCAGGGTTAGAGGAGAAACTGGGTTAAAAGTCAAAACAAAATGCGGACTTGTGAAGAAAATGCAAAGGAAAAGCAAAAGAAAATGGAATGTAATACATGATAGGTTAGATCAAAGTACACAGTCATCTGAATACCATATGCAGATAACAAAATAAGAACAAGGAAGACAAGGGTTAAAAATCACAAAGAATGATGAGTAGACAATAAAAGCATTTTGTCTAAAGGTGGATTTCCCCCTTCCCCCCGCCCCCCCCCGCCCCCCGCCCCCGAGAGTAACTGGACTCTTCATTGGCTGCACATATTGGTGTTGGTTTTTGTCTGGACTCACATGGTGTGCATTAGAATGCTTTGGGTTGAGACTGAGTATTGCCCGTGTGTTCCCAGTGATGTGAGGAGACGTTCTGGTGCTAAATGTCCTTCGAGTCTCAGGACTGAGAACTTCAGCTTCACTTAATCCATGCACCAAACCGTGGGTGCATCACTTTCAGATCATTGTGAAGTTTGATGAGTGAATATCAACCTTATTATATGAGCATATTAAAAACCATAATTAAGACTAATTTCTACTCATGATTCAAAATGGGTGAATATTGTTGTGCTTACTCTACATTTTCAATAATATTAGACTGTCTTTCCATTTCCTCCAAAGTATGATGGCAGTTGGGCATTTCAAAAAACATTTTTCTGATTGGAAATTAGAATAGAGTGGAAATTTTAAAAATAATGCTCCCCAATGTGTATGATAATATATATAATCAATTAATATATAACTTTTCATAAGGAACATATAAGCCAACTTGTATTTTGTTGCTATATATTATATCTAAAAAATATGGTCAAAATACATATAAAACATAATCTTCAAAATAAATAATTTTATCCATTAGTTGCCATTAAAAATTGAGATCTAAATTGAGTAGCACTTACATGACAACATATCACTCACTATCTTTGAGCCTTCCTGAAAAATGTATTTTACTTAACGACAATAGATCTGCTCTTTTTCAACTTCTCTAGAAGATAAAATACTGGTTATAGAAAATGTTGAGCCCTTTTCCTATTACTGTAATTAAATTAGCTAATAATAGTTACCCTTTTATAATTGTGTCATGTTTATCTACAACACCCAGAAATTATTTTACTTCTTTGCTGTTGTTTATTAAGCCTGAAAGTTTAGTGGAGACTGTTTCACCTTCTTCGAACTCTTCCTCTTAAGAAATGTAAGATTAACGGATGTCTAGAAAGGGGGCAGGTAGCTCTAAACCTTTCCCCTTTTTTATCTTCCATTCAGCTACATCTACATCTACCACCGGGACAAGCCATCTTGTAAAATGTGCAGAGAAGGAGAAAACTTTCTGTGTGAATGGAGGCGAGTGCTTCATGGTGAAAGACCTTTCAAACCCCTCAAGATACTTGTGCAAGTAAGGAAAAAAATCCTCTCTGTGGTTCTTGTCCATAACTGCTTCTTTCAGATGACTCCGTGTCTCAGGCTGCACTATTGCTTCTTTTTCCAATTTCGTTGCATCCTATTGGATAATGCTTTTCATTTGTTTTCAAAAGTTCGCACCATTTGTCATCTCTGTTATATTCAGAATTATGGTTGTTGTTTTTACAATTGTTTTTCCTTTTTGCCTTCATGTTTATAAAGTTGCTTTCTTCATGGTTTTTATCGTTGTTACCTAAAAGAGATGTGCAAATATCATAGAGGCCTCTAACTATTGGTACCTACTTCTCCATCCAATGTGTGAATTAAGCTAAAAGATAATGTTGTTTTTTTTACCCCATTTATCACCAGCAAAACAAATAGGATAACTAAAAGATACAGAAGTACAGAAGATTTTTTTTACAAACACAGCTTTTACACTTTACAGTAACTTACCATTTCATAACCATTTTTATAAATGGAATTTAGATTGATCTCGCTAATTATTTAAAAAAAACTGCACGTGTTTGGAAATGGATTTAGTGTTATAGCAGCATTTGTGAAGAAGGCAGAATGTTCTTTTATGCACTTCAGTTCTTTATATTCTCTTTAGGTACATATATAATAGCACTCTGTCCTATCACCTGAAGGAGTTGATGCATCATTCAGAAGTGTCACAGTTATTCTCTCTCAACAGGCAGAAAAAAATAATAAAATTATCAGTACATTAAATATTTAAACCTTGTAGTTAATATTATCAGCTCTCATTAAAAAGCACATATTCATTGTGCCATGCATTTACATTAAACTCTTGATATTATATTTAGGCCACATGTTGTACAGGGTTGTTTACTCTTGCACCAAAATGATGACCAATAGTGGATTCCCACTGTTCTAAAGTAGCACTGATTGTCCTACATGAGAAAAAACAAACAAACATGCCATCATAAACATTTACTTCTGCTCCAGAATATTAGCTTGTAACTTAGTGTTGACAAAGAAGAGCGAGTTTGTTAAAGAGCTAATAATTAGCAAAATGGGGTGGGAGGGAAGCACACAACATTATTAAGAAGGACAATCCCATACATCATGTAAGTAGTATACAAATATTTATGTGCCAGTTCTAAAAAAACACCCAAATACACACACACACACACACACACACACACACACAAAAAAAAAAACCTTCATTGTTTGTTAGTAATAAAGTACATCTGAAAGACACACATTTTACAATCTTAACACCGAACAAAAATGCCATTTGTAAGAAATGTTTCACTGTTCCCTGTGCTGTTCTAGACATGGGTTGTCTGCAGAATGCCTCGTGCAACCTCATGAACAGGTACTTCTAAAAACTGCTTTTTTCCCCTAAAAATCTTTTCTTTTAAGGGTAGAAGCAATTCTAGGAGAAGACAAATTGTGTAGGTTGTATAGCTGATAAGTTATAAAAGTCAATATCATCTGTCGGAGTGAATAAAAAACTAGGTATCACCTCAATTGTGAAACATCTCTTTGATAGGTAATAATTATAAGCCAAAATAAAGTTAATAGGTAAAAGTCTTTTAAAAAATTTAAAGCAAGATAAAAATAAAAGAATGTGTAGAAAAATATATTTCAGGTATGAATTATTTCACATGACTATTAGTGTTTATTGTTTTAAAATTAATCTTAGAATTTTACTTTTTGATCACCAGTATATTCAAAGGTATATATCTAGGGCAAAGAATTAAAATGGGTCAGTTTTAGTCTTTGGTTCTGACGACTTGGTGTAAATAAAACTCAAGCATGGCACCCCTATACTTATCATAGTGAGTCAGGAGGCATAAATTTTATAATTTTCTTTAAGGTTTTCTAAGATCAAACTAAAAAAATACCAGAAGCTGAGAACTATAATCTATAAAATATGAGGTCCATTTATTATATGGGGACATCTTGTTATTCTGTACTAATCTCAGGCATACAATCCAATCATATTTTAATAAATCTCCTTGAAAATCATTTAAATTATAGTTCCTTAAGTTCTCTTTCTTAAACAAAGTGCTCATATTATCTATGCCTCATATTTTTACTTCTTTAGAAAAACATCTGAGACCACTATATTTTAATTATAATAAAGAAACGTGATCATTTTTCATCAGAGCCTTTGCAAAGTTTTACAAGCGGAGTGAGTACATGTGATAGTTTCCATATACTTCCAAGGAACCAGTGCAGCTATTTTCCACATATTAATTTCAGCGATTCTGCAGCCCCCCCACGTGCTATACAAAACATGCAATCACAGAAGTATTGTTCATGTGTTCCACTTTGGTATTGTGCCAACAACTGTAATTTTTTTTCATCTATACAGTTTTTCACCTATAAATTTTAAGCCCAATCGAGAAAAATCCAGAAATAAATGCTTGTTACTTCTCTAATAATTATTAAATCAGCAAACCATGACTGAATACTCTGTATCCTCCAAACTCATTGTCTAGTGAGTTATGTTGTTTGCTAGTGCTCAGCAAATTGGCTTCATAATTTGATTTTTTTTTTTTTTGTAATTTGAATGTCTCAAAAAAGTGTTAAAGCTTATTCCTGGATCTTATTGGGAAGAAATTTTTTGATGCTTATGATTTTGATAAGAAACCCTCCCCCCTTTGGACCACGTCTTTACTGAGGCATCAAAGCAAGCCAGTCCCTTAAGTGAAGTAGTATTAGAATATAGTTAACACCCAAAATATTTCAGGCCTTTTTGTTAAACAAAGTGTGTCTTTAAAGTTTTATAGCATTAAAAATAATCACAACTCAGAATTGAAAAGCAGGACACATGAGATACCATGTCTGAGGATAATATATTGTAAACTAGACCACTTGACTAGAAGCAGAAAACATGAAAATGTTGCTTTGGTTCATCACGGTCTTGTATGTGAAGCCAGATCATAGTTTCCATATGGACCATCTGTCTGTAGCAAAACATTGCTGAAGCATGAGCTACATCATTGAAAATCAGCTTTCCTCCTGCCTGAAGCCATGACTCAGAAGCACCACAGGCAGGGACATTTCCAAGTAGTCTCTCTGGTCACCTAATCCATGGTTGTCTTCTTGGGCGTTGAAGCTGAAGACTTTACAGCAAACCGCTTTTGTCTCTCCAGTTAGCACAGGGTGTCCCCAGTGGATTAAACTCTTCTCTGAGGGGAGGTTTGCTGGTTACTTGGCTTTGCCCCTGGGGACCCTGGGAATTTAAGTGGTCAATTTCATCTTTTATATTTCTCTTCCCTCTCTAGTAATTTAAAATGTATCCCGAGGAAAAAATAATGACTATTATATGAAGTTGTGAAAATAAATATTTCATCTTTTACCCTCTGATGCCCTGTGAAGGTATATGGTTCAAAGAAATAAGACAGTTGAATAAGACATTGCCTAAATTTTCTCCAACTCTGCCCGCCCCTCCCCCTCCCTCATTCTTATGTGTCTGTTTTTCCAAACAGTTTTAGTAGAGAACTATTTTGGAATATGTTGATGTGATTTTTTTTTTAAAATCTAGAAATGATTTCATACCAGACCACATTTATAAACCCATTATGTTGTCCCATGGACAGATGCAGCTTCCCCATGAGGGGACTAGAGTTTTTACTACCAATTTTGGTAAACAGTCGTGAGCCCCTTCGCTTCAACTCCCTGGACAGTATCTTACCTCATAACATAGACCTAATATGTTCTCCAAATTTCTTCCCAGGAAGTTAGTGAAATTAAATGAATTCATTTCTGGTAAAGTAGTTCTAACTCTGGCAAAAGCATAGTTTTTTCCCTTATAATAAAAAGTACATGGTAGTATTACATTCTCTCTGTAGACATTGGAAAAATATAAACACCTGCCTTAACAGATTGTATTGTCATATTTAATCCCCAATTCCTCATCTTATTTTACACTAGCAGCTTTTATTTGGTTCGGCAGGGCCACCAGCTAGCTTTAGCTTTATGGCTTTGCATTGGACAGATCCTGCAAAGCTCTATTCATTATGTTCCTTTTATGCAAACAAAACAAAACAAAACAAAAACACACAAGTCTTGGGAAGATGGGAGGTGCCTTCATACATGCATGAGCTTATGATTTTTTATACTAGTTAATTTTTATGAAACTATATAGTATATACACTGAGTAGCCAAAATATTATGATCTCTGAACACATAATAATCTGGCCACTCAATGTATATCCTATATAATGAAAGGCTTAATATGCAAATTATCCTCTCAACCAGGAGGTTGACCAGCAGACAGGCCAGCCAACCACCCATGTCCTCTCCCGCTGGCCAGGTTGGCCGGACCCCCCACCCATGCATGAATTCATGCACCGGGCCATAATATATATATAATAATAACAATAATCTGGCCATTCAGTATATATATATATATGTGTGTGTGTGTGTGTGTGTGTGTGTGTGTGTGTGTGTGTGTGTGTGTGTGGGTGTGTGTGTGTATGTATATGCATTCAGAGATCATAATAATCTGGCCACTCAGTGTATAATCCCTATATTGTATCATTATAGGGGACAATTATGACAAATATATAACTGTAGATTTTAAGTCACAGCAAATGTTAAAATAAATTAAACTCAATAAATGAAATATTAATTAACAGCAACATCTATGCCAGGCATTTTTGAAAATATAAAGCATGGTCTCTTTCCCAGGGAATTTAGTTTGTTTAGGAAAATTAGGTAGCTAAAATAGTGAATCAGTTAGAGTAAATACATCACAAGTGGCACAATGCTGATTATGGTAGAGAGAATTTAAAGAAGGAAAAGAAACGGTTGGAATAAGTTGGAGAAGACTTTATAAACATGGCCAGTATTTATGGAATCTTTTTTATATAGCAGACAGGCACTGAGGTTGCAGGAATGGTTTCTGTGAGACCCGGTGGCATGCACATCTAAACCAGCAGCTCCATTCTGAGAAGTAAAACAAAATTTTGAGCCTGCGCTTGAGCCCTAGAGGCCAGGCAGAGGATTTTGGACACT